CAAAGTTTTTCAATTTGTAAATTGCAAAGTTTGGAAATCGTTTCGCTATAATAGACTTAAGGGGGAGGGCACTCATACTCTTTTCGAATATAAAGGTTTACATTGTATAGTTTAATAGAGCTTAGTCATAGACATATATGAATATCATGTTGAAATGGTTCAACAAAGGAGATTCGATATATGAAAATATTATAGCAAAAGACAGAACAAATATCAAATCCTTATGTGAGACATAATAAGTCGAGACCCATATGCTTCGAATATATTATCGATTACATATGCTATAATATTCACTTATTCTAATTTTTCAAATGCTCAGAGCATTGTGAAGAAAATGACTAGAACTTTGTGTGACTAAAGTTGTTAAACAACTGACAAGAACATTCTAAGGTTATACCAAAAGACTGATTGTTTGTGGACGGTTAGAAGTATGATATTAATTTGGATGGACCATAGTGACAAGATTCTGTATTGAGATGATTCTTGATCAAAATTGATGGCTATATAAATATGAAAATGTTTCCATAATGGGAGATTCTTGAAAAATCTACATGTGAGTTGGAAACTTTGATGCAAGAGAAGTGTTCAAGGAGTGTACATTGAATTAGATATTACCATGTAATTGTTTCTAGTAACAAAGTTCCAATGGGATATTCTGTAATATCAAAGGATCAGTCTTCGAGACTTTGGAATCTTGATATCACAGGAGATTAATGCATGTTAAGTTGAAATTCCATCACATATTGGATAATGATAAGAATTTGGAATTGTGAAATGAGCATCATTAGAATAATGTCCAGTTGATATGTTCACAAAGTAAGGACCATAGAGAGACATAATATGCATGTTTATAACATGGCATGACTGATGCTTAACTCAAGTGATTAGTTGATTACTCGAAACATTATAGAATGAATAAAGTCGTAATTATTATGGTGATTAAATAATGGAGATTATTTATATTCAATAAATTTGAGACCATAGTTAATTACTTTATTATTGTGTTTCACTTTGCATGTTTTACTTCCTGAATGATTTGATTATTCGAAATTTCATAGATGTTCATACTTTTGGAAGTAATGAATTAAGACTGTTATAAATTGAATTGTAGATTGTCTATGGAGATTAGACATTGCAATGGTTGCAACAATATTCATGAGTACTTAGAAAATGGAGATTTTGAGTATTGGATAAACCCACGCTCAAAGAATTACTTCATGGATTTTATCACGAGTAATTGTAAGACGATAATATCTTTCTTAAATGGAGATATATGAGTTGTAATTTATAAGTCGATTGTACATTGGTATTGCAAAAACGCATCAGTAACTTGATGTTATAAAATGTAGTGTCATGTATAATTTTGTGAGTAAAGGGTACAATCATATGAGTCAAAGTTTATTCGTTCCTTTTGCCCTAACGAAAAAGCGATATATTTGGGCCCCTCGGTGATTTGGTGTTGACTTATAGTGTTGGGCCCAGCCAGGACTAAATTGATGTGTTCAATTAGAAGTCTTATGATGTCATCACAAATCAGGAAACCGGGAAACAAAATTTTGGACAATGAGATTGATTCTAATTCATGTGTCATATCCATACGATATTTTGTTGAACGGAGGAATATTTGATCACTTATCTAAGGACCAATATCTGATCGGATCAAAGTTCGGCAGTTACTTTGGAAAGCACCATTTGTTGTTTAATTTAGAAGTTATACATGTAATTTAGTTTTTAGACTTATCAAAGTGCGAGTCTGTTGGATTAGGTGTCTAAGCCTATAACTAAATTAATATAATCTTGAATTATTAGCAGAGTCCTTTTTGGTTGCCCTCAAACCTAGTAATTGACTAGAATGCTTTTTGAAGAGAGAGAGAGATAGAGAGAGAGAGAGACTGATTTATTAATTTATTATATGATTAATAAATTAATTAGAACTCAAAATAAATGATTTATTAATATAATATATTAATTAGAAATAGTATTGTTTAATTAGAAATTAATCAAAAATTAATTGGAATTAATTTTGAGATTAATTGGATTAATTAAAAGTAGAATGACTAAATGTGACAGTGTTCAAAAGTTAAGCATTGACCAATTCTAAAACCTCCCATAGAGGGGACGGTTTCTAGAGGTATTTTTGGGCTATAAGGAAGCTTGGAATGTCGTAGGGAGGAAGCAATGGGGTAAGGGTTATTTAAAAGGAATTTGCCTTATACACAACTTTCCTAACACATATATATAAACCCCTAAGGGTTTAGAATTTTGAAATTCATCTCATTCTAAGAGTTTAGATTCGAAATTCTTCCTTATTCTCCGCTCTCCTCTTTAGCTTCCAGTTGCTAGGGTTTTTGTGTGAGCCATTAGAGGCACGAGACTTCTGGTGCTTGCTTTCTAAAGACCAATCAAGAAGGAATATTTGTTTATTTGTTATAATAAACAAACGTTATGTTTTTCTAATAACCCTTTCCTAATTTTGAAAAATAGCATTGTACTTTTAGGGTTCTTGATATTCAATTGTTTGTTGCAAATCATAGTGAGAACATAGACACTTTAGGTTGCATGTGAACTTAGGGTTTAAGTTTTTCCGCCAAAATAAGATTTTTGTAACCTATAAAACTCATCACGTTCCCCACCAAAACCACTTCACAAATGTATAAAATGATTTTCTATTTCTAGAAAATGAATTTCTGCCTTTGGATTTGGCATCAAAAGTAGAACCACTGTTGACAAAAATAGCAAATCTTGGGGGTAAAATATCATCAGTCTCTTCTGTTTCAGAAGTGCAGCTTTCTAAGTACATTCATGCTTTGGAAAAAAAATATTAACCTTAAGACTGCTACAACAGGTAAAATTTTGAAAATTACTCCTATTTTTTGTATACAACTTTTAGAAGGTTAAATACAATTTTTTGGTTAGTCAATAAAAATAATGTTACGGAATCCATTCATTACTTTCATCCTAATATTCATTCAAGTAGGGAGGATCCTACTTTACTCTCCCTATCACTATTGAATTAAAACGGTCATTTTCCCCATAGATTCATTAGTACTTTTTGTAGAGTTTGTGAAAGTAATATTATATTGCTAATTTACCCATGTTGTTGAGCTTCTTGGACATCGACACTAAATAGCTTATCATTTTGGGTGATCTGATTACTAATTTTTTTCATTCGACTCTTATATTTTCATTCTTTTTATGCAGACCTTCTAGACATGATGAAAGGGTAAAATGATCAGCAAATGAATGCAAATGATCGAGAACCTAAGATGTTAGGCAAATGTCAATAGGTACATAGTACCTTTTTTATCTTGATTTATATCATTAGCATGTCAATAAAGTTGGGGACCAATATATAAAATTTTAATATCTGATTTCTTGTAACACTTCTTCTTAGAGCTGATGAAAGTTCCACGTTTAGAAGCGAAGATTGTACTTTTTTTATATAAGATTCAGTTTAGTATATTGGTCAGGAAATATTATTCTTTGCATTTCTTGTTTTCTTATATTTACCATATTTTATCTTTGCTGCCGGTTCTCTTTGCAAATTTAGGTTGCAGATCATAGGAAAAACGTAAATGATTTATATTCATTAGAAGAATGAACCATTGGAAGAACACGCAAGTTATTAGTTATCTGTCACTTTAATTACCCATTTATTCCGAAACAAAAGATTGGTTTAATTTTTTCTTTTTTATATATGTCATATCAGATTAGGAGTTTTGTAAAGTTGAGAAGAGTCATGCAGACAATTATTTCTCTTGGAAATGCTTTGAAACCGGGAACTACAAGAGGTGAGTTATTACTATTAGTTTTATTTTATTTATTTTATTCGGAGTTACAGAAAATTGTTTTGGTTTTAGGTGTTGTTCGGTTTGGACAGCCTCTTCATACTTAATGAAACATCTAGTAGTAGCAATAAAATCACTCTCATGCATTATCTATGTAAGGTAAAGACTTTTTATTTATTTGTTTGTGTTTCTTTCACTTTGTTTGTGGTTTTGACAGCCTCTTTCACTTTCGTTACTTTATTTTAAATTTTTTTTCTGCTTAAAGCATTACACTTTAAAAAAAAATATGTCCAATTATAATATTGTATTTTGATGACATTGTTATAACTGGATAGATTTTTCTAAATACGATATTGTAATATGAAGAAATGAAAGTAGAATGATATAATAGACAAATCAATGAAAGTAACTTGCTATCTCTTACATCTAACCCTAATTACTTTCTCATACATATGTCGATCGAATGGAAAATTTGTTCAAAGACTTTGTGAAATCGTTCATTCGAACCCGCAGCGTAGTGCAGGCGGATTTTCTACTACTTTTGTATCATTTCCGTTAGCATAAAAAAATTCTCAAATGCCCATCATAGCATATTGGTGACCAAACATTTTTATAAAAATTCATCTATTATGATTCATAATACAAAAATAAAAATAATAATAATAAACATATATGATCCCATATATCTTTTTAAGGATTCCAACTCATAAATATCTTTTAAGGATTATAAAAAAATGCCTATTCAACAAGTGAGAAAGAAACCAGAAAGTGTTTATAGTAAATATGAAATGAAAAAAAAAAAAAAAAAAAAAAAAAAAAGATAAAACCACAAAATCTTTCACGTTTATAAAGATAAAATAAAAAATTACATGAAAATTAAAGAATATATATCCTCTTGCAAAATTCGATAATGTCGAAAAGGAGTAATGGCAATAACGTCGACTAGAGACTTCGCTTTAATTACACTTGCTAATGGGGATTATCCAAAAAATTCAAGATCCACTTTTTTTAATACAAAACAAAGAGAGAGTAAAAACGGCGGAGACGTGTCACTACAGAAATACAAATGTCAACACAGGGAGAAGACACATACAGCCTACGTGTCTTCACCTCTTCTTCTCCACCTCCAGAAAGAACACAATAAATTTAACCCCGCCATTGTTGCTTCAAATCTTATGTTCTTCAAGGAAATCACTACACTCACACACTACCATGAAGGTTGATACAAGATCACAGAATCATCCTCCAGGAGACGAAGAGAAAATCATGACCAGAAAGCAGAAAGCGGAGAAGCAAGAACACGAGCAATCGCCAAACAAGAAACCAAAATCAGAGGACCACAACAACAACAACAACAACAATGGAAATAAGTCGAATAACAAATCTCTAACTGACATTGTCGCTGAGTTTGATAAGTTCTGTAAAACCACAAGTCAACATCTCTCGATTAAGCAGATGCGTGAGATCCTCGAAGCTAACAACGCCGATAGTTCAGGCTCAGATGATGCCGTTGTGCCTAGATGGTAAGTTCTAATTTCTATTCGCTATTTAACTCTCATAGGCATAAACACAAACACTTGGCATGCATTGAGATTTTTATTGTGTATGTTTCACTTCTTCAGTCAAGATATGATGTTCTACGGAGTGTTAAAGGAGTGTCCTATCTGCGGTGGAACACTGCATCACGATGGTCATAATTACATCTGCGAAGGATCATACAGTGAGTGGTCGACATGCACGTATAGCACCAATGACCCTCCTAGAATCGAAGAGCCTATCAAATACCCTGATTTTGTGCAGGATTCTCCCATTTCTGATGTAATTCTCTCTATCTCAGGTTCCTTGATTCTGTATGTGTTTTTTTGCTATGAGATCCAACCGATTACATTATTTTTGTATAGTTACTGATGGAGCATCGAGACCCAAAGGGGAAACCGAAGAGGGATATACAGTCAAAAGATAAGCCTTTTGCAGGAATGATCATATCTCTCTCTGGTCGACTCTCTCGCACACATGTATGTAATATTTTCTTCTCGTTGTTCTTAGAGTTTTACAACTTCTATATCCTTTTCTCACTGTTTTCATCATCTTCTGAAGCAATATTGGAAGACTAAGATCGAGAAACATGGAGGAAAAGTCGCAAATTACGTCATCGGAGTGACGTGTGTAGTCGTGTCGTCCTCTGAACGAGATCGAGGAGGATCGTCGAAAGTTGCAGAAGCATTGTTAGTGTTCTCTTATCTTACTTCTTTCTCCCTCTCTCATCGGATCTAAAATATTCGCATAAATGAAACAGAGAACGAAGTATAGCAGTGGTACGTGAAGCATGGCTGAACGACAGCATCGAGAAAGACGAACCACAGCCACTGGACGCTTACGACGTCGTTAGCGATCTCGCTGTTGACGGAAAACAGATCCAATGGGACATGCAAGATCGAAGTCAAGAAGCCCTAGAATCTCTAAACGCCGAAGTAAACGATTCTGATTCTTCATCTTCCTTCCATAACTTCCGTTACCTAACTTCACTTATCTCTGTTATTCAACTTCTCGCAGATCAAGATGTATGGAAAGAGAGGCGTACACAAGGATAGCAGATTAGACAAAGATGGAGGTGTGATCTTCGAGAAAGACGGAATCATATACAACTGTGCGCTTTCTGTAAGCGATAGAGGAAGAAAAATCAACGAGATCTGCGTGATGCAACTGATAATGGTGCCGGAGGATCGGATCCATTTATATTACAAAAGAGGGAAAGTCGGAGCGGATTCAAGAGCAGAGGAAAGAGTAGAAGAGAAGAAGAACGTCGATGAAGCAATCAAAGAGTTTGCTGAAATTTTCGAGGAGTTAACTGGTAATGAATTTGAGCCATGGGAACGAGAGAAGAAGATTCAGAAACAACCTCGAAAGTTTTACCCGATTGACATCGACGATGGTTATGACGTCAGATATGGAGGTCTAGGGTTACGTCAGCTTGGAGCAGCTGCAGCTCACTGCAAGCTTGATCCGTTTGTCGCTAATTTCATGAAAGTGCTTTGTGGTCAAGAGATTTACAGGTATGCGTTAATGGAGATGGGAATTGATGCACCTGATCTTCCCGTCGCCATGCTCACTGATTTCCATATAAAAACATGTAAGTTTCCTGTTTCCGGTTTCCAATCTCAAGTTCAATTACTACTAAAAAAAAGCCACTTTTTGATGTGAAAAATCGAATTCAGGTGAGGAGACTTTACTTGAATTTGTTGAGAAACTATTCAAGACGATTGAAGGGGAAGAAGACAAACCTAGCGCTGTGTGGTCAGACTTTAGTCAACGATGGTTCACACTGTTGCATTCTACAAGGCCTTTTATCTTTAGAGATCATCAAGATCTTGCAGACCATGTAAGCAAAATTTAAAATTAAAAAATCCATCGTTATTTATTCAGTTCTTAATCTGTAAAGTTATGGACTTATTATGGTTATTGTGTTAGGGTGCATCTGTGCTTGAAACTGTGAGGGATATAAATGTGGCTTCAAGGATTATAGAAGATATGAGTGGATCCACCATTGATGACCCTTTGTTTGATCGATACAAGAAACTCGGTTGCTCAATTTCAACTTTGGAAAAGGAATCAGATGACTACAATATGATTCTTAAATACGTTGAAAAAACCTACGAGCCTGTGAAAGTTGGGGAAATTGTAAGATCCATTTTTTATATATATTTTCTAATCATTGATCCAACGGTTGTAAATTTGTAATCTAATCTTTGTAATTTTCAGAGCTATGGGATATCTGTTGAGAATGTGTTTCAAGTGGAAGTGGGTGCAGGACCTTCTTATGATGAAATCAAAAAACTCCCAAATAAAGTTCTTCTATGGTGTGGTAAGTAAGAGACTTTCCACTTTCGAATCTTTCAAGGGTATTATGGTAATTTGCTAAAGATCATCTTATTGTGTTGTAACTTTAGGGACACGAAGTTCGAATCTATTGAGGCACTTGCATAAAGGATTCTTGCCAGCTGTATGCACACTCCCGGTTTCTGGATACATGGTACGGAGTTGCATACTATGTTGTTTTTTGTTTTGTACTATGATGATGTCAGCAAGTGTGGTGTACAGTTTGGTAGGGCGATTGTGTGTTCTGATGCGGCTGCAGAAGCTGCAAGATATGGGTATACAGCTGTGGATAGGCCAGAAGGGTTTCTAGTTTTGGCTGTGGCTTCTTTGGGGAAGGAAATTACAGAAATAACCTCGGTGCCTGAAGATACGGAGCCTTTAGAGGAGAAAAAAGCAGGAGTGAAGGGTTTAGGAAGGAAGAAAACCAATGAAAAAGAGCATTTTGTTTGGAAGGATGATATCATGGTGCCATGTGGTAGTTTGGTTGAATCTGAGCATAAAGATAGTCCTCTCGAGTATAATGAGTATGCTGTTTATGATCCTAAACAGGTAATAAACTAATAACTGTGGGTTTTGAAAGTATTTGGGTAAAATGGTCATTTGTTCTTTGGGTTTTGGGTTTGCAGGTGATGATAAGGTTTTTGGTTGGAGTGAAGTTTGAAGAACAAGATGTTGTGTATGAAGAAGTTGATCCAGCTGATGCTCCTGTTGAGTAAAGATGGTTGATGTGGGTAAAGGGTTTTTTGGTCTTTTCTAGAAGGATAGGAACTTTAGGGGTAGTATGGTCTATTTTGATGTAAAAATCATTGATGTCATTTTGCAATATGTTTGGGCATCATGTAGTAGTAGTATACTATCGGCTATATATATGTTATGTACTGGGTTCTATGAATATATATCTACTCATTGTATATATTTTGGTTTTTACTTCATTTCAATGACTAGAAGTAATTTAATGTCTACATATGTTTATCTCTAAACAATTAAAATGTTTCATATAGAAATGTAAGAAAAGAAGAGTGGGAATTGGGAATTGAGTAACGTGTGTAAAAGAAGCTACAATGAGTCGATGACAATGTGTCATCTGTGAATAGTTGCAGGAGGGAATTTGAACTTATCTGAAACGAAAGGGATGGCTACAGGGTTGTTGACTAAATCTTCATACAAATCATATTCTGCTTCATAATCGTGTAAACTAAGTTCTTTTTTCTGATTTGTATGGTAATGATGTTTGGCTGAATCTGATTTACCGAATCCGTAGATGCTAACTTTGTCACATATCCCCAAAGCAAGCATGATTGCTTGCATACCGGAGGAATAATGGAACTCGGATCCTCCATGAACGGAGCTCCATGTTTCCAATGGCTTCCCGGTTTGTTTCAAGTACCTTTTGATTGAATAATACTTGATGATTCTTGCACATAGAACGTCAAGCTTTGGATCTGTGATCATCAATGGCGATTTGTGAGATGAATTGCAAAGAGCGTAATCGAGAAAATGAACTGGCTGCGACATGTACATCATTATAGGCACTTTCTCGCCGTATGGATGACAAAAACAACCTCCTCTACGTGAACATAAATGGAGAATGTTGCTGTTCATGAATGAGAGACTGGTTTTTGAGCCAACAAATCGTTCATAGCCACCGATTCTAGCATTGTTCAATCGGATCACAAACTCATGGCTATCGATTTCTCCACCTAGATTACGCCTGAGCAAAATCCCACTGTTACCGACCACCGCGCACGTCCTGTACTTCCGCCTGGATCCCAAACCTCCGGTCATGTTTACAGTCTTCAACACGTTGACTACCTCGAACATCACATCAGGATCAAACCGACGGTGGCGCCACCAATCCCGCAAATACCGTCTGAATTTCAACCACAGAGTGTAGAACTCCGGCGACCTGAGATCCATAGGCCCACGCCTAACGGACCTAGCACCAGTATCCATACGGTACCTACCCGCCGACAAAAACGATCGCTGGCGATTGAAGTTATCGCTTCGGAAATCCATGTCCACCAGCTGCTCGACGTTTTGTCTGAGTGACTTCTCAGCTAAATCAACCGCAGCAAACGACAACAAAGCTGAATTAAACACTGAGGGAACCTTCTCTGTAGCTTCTGTATCGCTAATACTAAGAATGTCTCCAAAGGCGCCGGATACAATGATCCGAAAACACAGAGTTGCGGCGGCGGCAGCAAAGACGAGCAGAACGCTGAACAATGGACGCACTGATCGCTTCATCATCGTTACGTTTATGTAGGTGTGGTCAAAGGCGTTCGTAAACAGATCGAGATCGGAAGAATCTAATCGCCGGCGTCATAGGTTGTAGAGAATGGATTTCAAGTAGATTAAACTTCGTCGATTCTTCTTCATTGGTCTGCAATAGGCTTGATGAATCGAGTGATGTTGAAATGCAGATGGGATGTTGTAGGTACGTTATCGGTTGAATCTAGTTGGCATGTGCGTATATGTGTTTGTGATTGAGATGGGTGATTATTAAACTTCAATCTTTCTTTGGGGAGGTGGATTTCCAAAGAGAAAGTGGGTTAGATATCATGGGAAGGTCCGCTTCCATTTGAATGGTATTATACTATGTTTAGATAGTCGATTAATTAAATGGCGGTATAATTTTATTTTTTTTTTTTAAAAATAGCAAAAATGGTCCCTGTGGTTGGCAAAATTATGTGGTTTTGGTCCAAAAATAGTTGGTGGTGCATCAGTGGTCTAATTTTGAATACCTTGTGTGTTTTTGGTTCCTATGGTTGACATTTGTGTGTGGTTTTAGTCCACACCCAACCTAAAATGACGATTATTCCTTAGAATTGTTTTTTTATTTATTTTTATATATTTTCTTATGATTTTTTATTTTTCAATTAAATAAACCAAAAAATTCCTAAAACCCAGTCATCGTCCCCAGTCCATGCCCCTCTCACTCTGTCGATCTTCCTTCTTACTCTCTCACACGACCTACCCTCCATCGTCGGCCTTGCCTTCGCCGATGACAGCAGCCCACCTCCCACCGCCTAAAATATCAATTTCTCACCCCTACTTCCCATTGTCTCTCCCTTAAACCATACATTCCCTATTCTATTATAGAGACTGACTTTTCTAGCTCTCGTTAGTAATTCGGTCATCATCGGTCACCGATGAACTACTCCCATCCATCGCCACCACTAACACCGGAGAAGGGCGACGATGTCGTAGCGGAGATCGGAGTTAAGGTTTGTACATATTTTTGTCGAATCTGTTCACCACGGTAGGAGTGAGCGACAACCAAGCCTAAGAGAAATTCAACAATAATGGTCGATGCGGCCTGCCTTCTCCGTCGTCACCTGCATCACATGCCTTCGTCTTCCTTCTCTGTTGCCACCTCTTTCTGCATTCAACTATTGTAACTACGATTATCGTCCTCCATCAACGATTGAGAAAAAATATTGAAATCAACACACAAACACACTCATGCACACATGTAAATCCCTGGCAAAAACACTTGAAATCGACACCCACACTAAATTAGTAAATATAGAAAAAAAAGTTCGTGATGATTGGTTTGAAATAGAGGTAGACACAGGTGGTGGTTGTGTAGGTGTTCGCCATTTTTGTTTTGCGAACCCTAGCTTTGATATGTAGATCATGGCTCCGGCAAGGACTACGTTTAGCAAACCATAGCTCCGGTGGAGGGCGGTTGAAATACTACACGGTTTTTGGTTTTGTTGTCTAGATCCGGCTATAGGAGGGAGGTGGTGGTCGAATTGAACTACAAGAGGGGGAAGAAGTTGTTGAAGGGGATCGTATAGAGATATAGAGGGGGCAGCCCCTTTATTATTTTTATTTAATTAAAAACAATAAAATAAATACAAATTAATTAAAAAACAAATATAATGGGTATAATAGTCTTATCATGTTTATAGGGACCAAAAACAATAAAAAGATCCAATTTTGGACCATTGGTGAACCACCAAAACTTTTTGGACCAAAACGACATAATTTTGTCAACCACATGGACTATTTTTGCAATTTTGTCTCTTTTTTTCAAGTTTTTGTTTTAAATCCAAACATTTTTTAAATCAGTGGTCTTTTTGAGATAATTTCGTTGTATTTTTTGTCCTTCAAAAAATTGAAAAGACTAAATTACCTTCCTAATATTTTTTTTATGTTTGTTTTATTTATTTTAATTTTTTATTAATAATAAATATGGTATCTCTCTCTCACACACACACACATCATGTATAGATGCATACGACCAAAGATTTATCAAGAAATATCACACCACATCTTTGTAGATGTCATCGAAATACACACAACCCAAGTTTAATTATGTATCGAATATTACCACAATTAACAGAGATGACGACCATTGTGCTATTGTGGGTTTTCCGTTTCTAAGAGAGACTATCCCTTCACAATTTTGGACACCACCAAAACTTTTTGAACCAAAACGACATAATTTTGTCAACCACATGGACTATTTTTGCAATTTTGTCTCTTTTTTTCAAGTTTTTGTTTTAAATCCAAACATTTTTTAAATCAGTGGTCTTTTTGAGATAATTTCGTTGTATTTTTTGTCCTTCAAAAAATTGAAAAGACTAAATTACCTTCCTAATATTTTTTTTATGTTTGTTTTATTTATTTTAATTTTTTATTAATAATAAATATGGTATCTCTCTCTCACACACACACATCATGTATAGATGCATACGACCAAAGATTTATCAAGAAATATCACACCACATCTTTGTAGATGTCATCGAAATACACACAACCCAAGTTTAATTATGTATCGAATATTACCACAATTAACAGAGATGACGGCCATTGTGCTGTTGTGGGTTTTCCGTTTCTAAGAGAGACTATCCCTTCACAACCACTAACTGAAGCATTGAAACTCAATCCCATTCAAAATTTGGTACTTGAAATTAATGCTAAAAACCATATGACTCAAAACTCAGATCCATCTCTTCATCTGGATGAATCCATTTAATAGAAAATCCCCATCGATTTATTACAAATAATAAACACAAAATCTGATTTTAAGGAAGGTGGTGATTCGAAGAACACTCTTGAAATCGAGATTCATAACCCTAAACTTTGATATGTGCGAGCGGAGGTGTAACGCCCGCAGATCCGGGCTAGTCAATTTAGAGACAATGAGCATCAAAAATGAGTTTTTGATGAAAGATTATTTAGAAGGATTAATCTTAACCAAGTTTTAGTATATGTTACAAGGGTTCCGTACATATAAAGAACGCCGAAATTCGAGTTATAACGAAGAAGTTATGGCTCGTCGAAGTTTTACGGCAAAACCGGCATGACACCGGAAGACGTAAATAGTGAATTTACGGTAGAAGACTTTTTAGCCTTAGTGATCTAAACAAAAATTGTAGTATACGTTAAACCGAGAACATACAAAAAAAGAACGCCCAAATCTGACTTCGTATGAGGAAGTTATGAATTTTCTAAGATTTGGCAAAGCAGTGCATGACCCGAAACTCGAATTTTAGTTCGAGCGGTTTTTGGCCTACGCGACGTAAATGAGAGTTGAAGATCTCATTAATAGGAACTCAACGGTAAAAAGACAGACGAAAACGGAGTCCGTATGTAGAAGTTATGAATTTTACGCGGACATTTAACAGTATAATCTCCTCCTACTGTTAAATTTAAGATCGGTCGAGAATTAGCCGACGAAGTCTAAATGAAAGTTTTAGATCTTGTTTTTACCTACGCGTGGATATAAAGAATGTCGGGAGTAGAGCCCGTATGTTAAAGATATGGACGAAACTTGGTCCCTACTCTTCGAGCGCGATAAATTCGATACAGTTTTGTAAATCTAAGATATAATGAGAATTAGCTGACGGCGTCTAAATGAAAGTTGTAGTACTTGTAAATACCAACGTGTGGATATAAATAAAGTCAAAAATGGAGTTCGTATGAACGAGTTACAAATTATAATAGCATATTTATGTATTAAAATAAAGTATAAATCATATATACGTACACATATATATACATATGTATATATCATTAGAAAGGTATCGAAGATGCGGTTATTATAAGACTAGTATTGAGTACTTTCGACATTAGTTTAGTATAAATATCATTAAATCTATTTAAAATAGTATTATGAAGGGGTGTTTAGTCGTTTATATAACTATAAGGTCATTAAGTAATTATGGAGGGTAGTTTTTGTAAATTCAATTACTATAAATAAGAGGCTTGGGCTCTCATATTTCTTGCACCATTCTATTGATTCAAGAGTCTTTCTCTTCTTATCCCCCGAGCATTTCGGTCCCTCGTGATTCGACTTCTCTTTCTGTAGTTTTAGTATAGTAAGGTGAGCGTTGAAGCGTTGCACGAATCTGTCTTAGAAAGATTCAGCGACGAAGTTCTGCCCCTGTAGAGCCCGAATCCTAGCTAAAACCCCCTTGTAAGTAAGTTATGCTTACCTATTTTAATATAGCTTATATTTAAAATTAGTATTGTTATTATGAACTTATAATAAATATTTGAGCTATTATTATGACTTATATAAGTGTCGTTATAATATCTTTTTAACTACTCGCGGTACGGGGAATCTGGTTTAAAGGGTCGCATAGGGTTGTTGGATTTCAGAAGTGCTATATGCCAAAATGGTCCTGCCCTCCGATGTTTTATGTCTGGCCCCTGTCTGTACATAGTGGTTGGAAAGTATTGTTTAAACGATTATATAATAATAATAATAATAATAATAATAATAATAATAATAATAATAATAATTAGTCACGGTAAATATTAGACTAAAATCTAGTGATAATAATACTAGGTTTCGTCGAAGGAAATTATTTTAAAGTAAACGAAGCGCTGTCCGAGTACCGAGTCACCACCTTATCAAGTGAGTGCATAGTTACTTTCATCTTACACATAGATATGAAGTATTTTATATAAATTACGTGATATGTGTGCATACTATCTGAATACTTGTTGTCTATGTTGGAAGAATGATTTTATACATGTTTTAAAATGATTTAAACTGTATATGTATTTTATATCTACAAATATGTTGGGTATGACATGGGTAGATGAATAATGAGAGATAAAAGATGATGTGAGTAAACATTGGCAGCTGTAGACTTAGTGCCTAATAAATAACATCGACAGTTATGGATTTAGTGCCTATTGGACAAACACTGGTAGCTATGGACTTAGTACCTATTAGGTAAACACGGGTGGCTATGGACTTAGTGCTTGTTAGATAAACGTTGGTAGCTATGGACTTAGTACCTACACTGGTAGCTATGGATTTAGTACCTGATGAATGAACTTTAGCAGCTATGGATTTAGTGCATTGGCAGCTATGGAATTAGTGCATGTCTTATAAACCCTGGAAGTAAGGGACTTCGAAATGAACGAATGCAGGATAGATGACTCTTAGGGTAGACCCTTAAGAGTAAGGAAGATAATGGGGATGGGTAATTGGGTTGATTGTTTGATGTTTAAACATAATAATTATATTATTGTGGGTTGAAAACCCTATGTACTCACCAGGTTTCCCAACCTGACCCACTCAGTTTATTTGTATCATAGGTGTCGATAC